AAGCAGGTGCCCGCCTGCCACGGAGCCGCCAGGTGGCACCAGCAGGCTGCACGTGGCCTTCTCCGTGGCTGGGGGGAAAGGGCAGAGCCGAGCCTTGGTGCGGGGTGGGGGGCTGTGCAGGGGCAAGGGGCTCAGACCTGACCCGACCTGACCCAGGCTCTTGTGCTGCTGCTTCCAGCTGGTGCCCCCACCGCCGCCCCAGGACCCGCTGTGCCCAGACTGTGAGGAGGAGGATGCCCTGGCCTGCATGCTGCTGAGCTGGCACCTGAGTGGGTACCACACCGGCTTCTACATGGTGAGGCCTGGCCCCGGGGGAGGTGCCCTGTGTGTGGGGCACAAGCTGGCACGCCTGGGCTGGGAGATGGCTGGGGGCTTCCTGCAAAGGGCAGCGGGGCTTGGGTCCTGGGTGCCCAGCTCACACGGCTCCTTTGTGTCAAACGGTGTCTCTCCCCGCTGTGCCTTGCAGGGGCTGCGGCAGGGCCGGGCCGAGGCAGTAAAGTCCGCGCCGAAGCCGGCGTCACGGCAGAAGGCGGCGTCATCACGCAGCTAGGAGCAGGTGGGCTTCTCCCGGTGTCCTGTGATCCCAACCCCCTGCTCTGCCCGTGCCCCATGATCCCAACCTTGACCCTCTTCTCTGCCCATGCACTGCCCCCCAGCTCCTGGGCAGACCCAGCTGGTTGCATTGGGCTGCCTGGCAGGTCGGGATGCGGGCAAGCCACTCTTACGGGGCTGAGGACTGCTCCATCCCTCCCCTGCCCTGCCCGCAGGTCCTCACCCCCCTGGGAAGTGGGGGAGTTGTTCCCTTGCCAGGCAGGCCCTAATCGGCCATCCCAGCAGGCCTTCACAACCCTGTCCCCCTCATTGTCACCTGTTCCTCTTTGCAGTTGCAGACCTTTGCTCGCCCCTCGGGGTGGACGGGGCGGCCCCCAGGCTGGGCTGGTCCTGCACTGTTCATCTGTCCTGCGTCTTGGAGCCACGACTCCAGCCCTGCACTGACCAGGCCAGGGAGCAGCGTGCGGCTGAGCTGGGGCGTCGCTGGCACTGCCTGTCCCCCGGGCACCACGCAGCCCGGGCATGGTGCCGCAGGCGCGGACTGTCTCTCCAATAAACCCAGTTTGTCAGGCCCTGCGCTCCCCCCGCTCATTGCTCCCCATGTCCCAGCTCAGGACAGGAGAGGGGGGCCAGGGGCTGCCTCGGCCCAGGGCGCTGGTGCGAGGGGAGGGAGGACTGCAGCCGCTCCGCTCCACTCCCGGGGTACCAGGCTCTACCTGCACTCACTGTCTGGTCCGGGCTGCTCCAGCTGTAGCTGCCGATCAGGAGCCCAGCAGGCAGCGGGCAGGCATGGCCATACTCCCTCTTCTTCCCCACTGCTGGGTGGGTCCGGGCACTCCCTGCCACCTGCCTCCCCGGGGGCAGGGGCTTGGGTCTCCTTGTGATGCTGCAGGGGTTTGCCCTGAGCTGGCTCTGGCACTGCCAACGCTACCAGGAGCCTGCCGCTCCTGGGGCGTCCGTGCGCCAGACATCCCTGCCAGGGATGCTGAGCGGGAGGGGGCAGGGGCGCAGGTGCTGGCCATGGCGAGCTGGCGTGAGTCATGTTTGCTCGAGGAACAAGGCGCCTGGCCCCTGCCCTGTGACGCGCGGCGGCTCGGGGCTCCAGCCGGCGAGGAGAGGGAGCCTGCGTCATCGCGCGCCGAGCAGGGGGCAGATGCGACAGGCGGGGAAAGGGGGCTGTCTGGCCCGGGAGCGCCGTCCCTGGTCCCCAGTTAGGAGGAGCGGGTGCTGGGGTGCACCTCCAGCAAGGTGGAGCCGTGGGGGGATGCCCCAAGCACGTATCTGACCCCAGTAGCAGCTGCCTCAAAAGCTCTAGGGGTCCACGAGGCCCAGCAGGTCCTAAATGGGGGCCGCAGCAGTTACCGGGTAGGGCTGGGGGTGCAGGAGCTCCCGGTGGCATCATGGAGCAGGGTCACCTGGACCCGTGAATGCTCCCTGGTGCTCTCCTAAGCCCTAGGCCTGGAGAAGCAGCATCTGCCTACATGGTGCAAGCAGGGGTGCCCATTACCACTGTTACCCCGCTGTGTGCATGCTGCCCCAGGGGGCTCGGGCCACCTGAGACTTGCTGAGGGGCTGCAGGGCCTGCAGCAAACTCGGCTTGCTGGCCGGAGGGGCCTGCAGTGGGGCTGATCCCTCCGGCCAAGGGTCTGCACTGCCTCCCAGCCCCGCGGAGATCCCTAGGGCTGAGCACGAACAGGCCCGGCGGCGCGGGGGCCGGATGCGGCGCTGACGGATGGCCGGGGCTGCGGCCGCCCCATGGCTCAGCCCTGATGCCTATTGACAAGGGGGGATTGCCTGGCCCCGGCAGGCAGGAGCAGCCCAGGCCCTGGCTCGTCTCCCATCGATTTTTCCAACGCTTTGCCTTTAATCTGCTAAGCGCGGAGCCGGGCGCCTGCCCCCACCTCCCTAAGCCCCTGTGAGCTGGAGGCCTGAGTCATTGCCTGGCTGCACTAGGGGGGAGGGGGCTTCTGTCCTTGCACAGCCGCCAGCCCTTTGCAAGGGCTGTTGTGGGGGAAACTGAGGCACAGGGCTGGGTTTGCCACTCCGTCCCTTGCATGGGTGCATGCCTGACCCACCCCTTTACAAAGGAGTCTGCTGGGGTGAAGTCTTCCTGGGGAGAAACAGGCACGGGGGCTGCTGCATGGCTGCATGCCTGACCTGCCCCATCCCATGCTACAGTGGCTGCCCCCCCTCTCACAAAGGAGGCTGCTGGGGTGAGGTCTCCCTGGGGGGAAACTGAGGCAGGGGGCTGGCTTGCCACTGCATCCCTTGCATGGGTGCATGCTTACGCCCCCCCCAACACACACACACACACACACACACACACACAGGAGGCTGCTGCTGGGGAAACTGAGGCAGGGCGGCCCGCGTGCCCCTGGGCCCCTGCATGGCTGCACGCCTGCCCCCCCCGGGGGCCGCCCTCGTGCCATCCATCA